AGTTTGCATAACTCAAAAGCTTTTCTAAATATAACGAAACCCATACCATAACATAAAAGATGGATACACAACGATGGAAACATTAGATAATTTTGGTGGCAGAGAATATCAGGAACAGAGCCGCACGACAAAGGACAGAACAGGAGCCGGGACGACACATAGGATGGAAGGCTGGTGAGTATGGAAACTGAAAACCCAGCCGAAGAACAGGAGACACGAGTGGGCAGCTGTGAGGCAAGAGAAAATCTCATCACGTCCGCTTCTCGGCTCCGTGCCCGCATCTCCACTCCTCCCGCCCTCCTGCAATCACCTGCAACACTAAGTACACGATACTGAGCTGCAGTCTCTTTTCTCACTGTTGCGGTTTCAGGGCGGTACACCTGTTCTCCACAGGGATCTCAGACACTCTTGGTGAGCTTAGTTCTGGGGCATTTCATGCCACGTTTCTGCTGCTACTGTAAACGGTATGTTTTGGGCGCTGCCTAGTTGGCCGCTCCGTCGGTACCGAGGAGAAAACTGCTGTTGTCTGGTAAGTTGCTCTCGCAACTGGTAACCTTGCTGAGTTTATTACGCGTTCTAGTGTCTGTGTGCTGATTCTGTTTGTACACGAGTGGATTTCTAGATGAGGGAATCACTCCTCCCTAAAACAAACACTGAGTGCTCACGAGTGGCAGGTACCGCGCCAGGTGCGGAGACAGCAGGGAAAACAGACAACACCCCAGCCTCCCGCGGTCTACGCTGCAGCTGCGGAGAGGCGAGCAACAGGCAGTCAGGTGTCGAGTACGTTCAAAGGTGGTGAGTGCCACAGGGAGAAACAAAGCAGGGGCAGGGACAGGGCGGGGAGGCCAGGCGACAGTCCACAAAGCCTCACGTCTCCGGGGCCCACTGAGTGGGATTTCCTGCTCTGACCCCAAGGGAATGCACCGGAGTCCCCCTCAAGAGGAGGTATGCTGGGGGTGTGGATGCATGAACCCTAACGAGTTCAAGAAGTTCCTCCCCAATCCCTATTGCTAAGACTTTTAACGATAAATAGTTGTTGCAAGTCATCAGAAGCTTTTTCTTCATCAACCGAGGTTCCAGACTCTTTTCCCTAATCTCTGAGAGGGAGCATCCTGACAGCTTCTCGGTCCCTCCCGTTTTGGGAGTAGAGTGCGGGATCCGTTAGCTCTAATGTGCACCTCAAACTACAGACTTAGTCTCCCCTGGACGACACTGACTTTACTCCAACAGGCAGCTCTGAGTCTTTGCCTGGTCTCCAAACCCATGCGTATGGGACGGAAATTAGAAGTTGGGTAGAACTCAACCTTAGAGCCATGTGGGCCCTGTGTGTGTTGGAAGGAAGGAAGGAAGGTCTTGGAAGACTATCTCCACTTGTTTGTTGGTTTAGTTGAGTTCTCTTTCTTCTCCTGCCAAGTTTGACATTTTTATTTTTTTAGGAACCTATCCATTTCACCATTTTTCAAGTTCAATAGCTTTTTTCAATCTCTCTAGGGCAGCCCTCCCCATCCCCTGGCTAGGAGGACCATGTGAGGCCAGGCCTGCATTCCAGCTGCTGTGGGAGCAGGAAGGAGACCCACATCCCTCCCTCCTCTCTCATTTTATGCCCCTCTTCCCTCAGCAGTCCATGGACAGGACTCGCTCCCTACCACTCCACCCACCTGCCTCTGTGTTCCTGTGACCTCCACACCTCTCCTCTGACCTAGAGAGAGGGGGCTGCACAGCTCATGGGCCCACTGAAGCCCATCTCCAGTATTTTTCAGGACCCCTCCCCTTGCAGGCTTCCTGGGGCCCACAGCCAGTGCAGATGCCCCGAGGCCATCTCAGGCCTCTCTGTCCTGAAGGCTGCCCACTCCTGCCAAGGAGAGGAGCTTCATCCCAGGGGCCACACCCACCATGCAGGGAACACCCTAACTTCAGCCCTGCTAGGCTGGACGGCCCGCCCCACTCTTGCTCCCTGCAAGCCTCAGCAGGCATCTGCACCCAAGACCTGGGGATGGGTGGCACCAGGACCTGCCCCGTCATACCGGCCCTGTCCCCAGCATGTCCCCAGCGCCCCACCCTCAGTATGCCCCCCTTGCACCCTACCTGTGGAGCCCCAGCCTGCCCTGCCACAGGGTGCCCCCCCATTCCCATCCCCTGCGCATTCTACCTGAGCATGCAGAGCGGCCAGGAGTGAGTCCAGCTGGGCTTCCAGTGTGCGGCTGCCCACGGTCACCGCAGCCTCAAGGATCTGGCCCAGGCTCTGCTCAAGACAAAGGACAGGGGCCTTCGGTCCTACTTCAAGCCCCCAGCCCCACCTCCTGGCCGCAAAGACCCCACCTCAGGGCTCAATAAGGGAGCCCTACCTCCAAGTCAAGAATTAAGAGAGGGCAAGTCTCAGGACAGGGGGCACAGAAAAGGTGAAGGACAAGGTGAAGGACCCCTGGGCAGGGCATCGAGGAGAAATATGACCAGGCCCCACCCACCACTGAATCTAACAGCACTCTCTGAGCGGCCCTTCCCAGGTGCCTACACCCTCCCGTCTTGAGCCAGGTGGGGGCGAGTCAGTGGACAGAGCTCTGCACAGGCCACGGCGGGCAGGTGCGCACCTTGGACACGTGGAAGGTCTCGGCGTGCTTCTTGTAGAGGGCCAGGACTCCGGGCAGGAGCTTGGGGAGCTGCTCCTCCAGCTTCTCACTAGGCAGCAGGTGGCTCATGGGCCCCAGGGCCTCCACCACGGCAAGCCGGAGCTGAGAGGAAGAGCGCCGTGGTGCTCAGGTCCAAACCACTGGCCCGAGTGGAGAGGCAAAAGGCCCATTCACCAAGAACCCAAGGCCAGAAGTGAGGAAACCCACATTACCACATGACTAGGGGTTCCGAAAGGGTCCAAAGGCAGAGAGGTCAGAGTGACCACGGCCAGGGTCCGGACAGTGGCCAGGCCAGGGAGGCCGTAAAGGAAACTGCCACCCCCAGCCCACCCCCCAGCAATGCAGGAGCCTCCAGGCAGAGTGGGATAGGAAGGGAGACCTTGCACCGTCACCCCCTGACGAAACCCGCACCCCCGAGCCAGGGGGCGGGACACGGACGGGACTGGGAAGCCTGTGTGGACAGTTGGCTCTACCCCTCCCTGGGACCCCTCCCCCAAAGCCTGCAGCACAGTGGGAGAGGCTCAGGCCATGGGAGCAGACCAGGACCCCGTGGGGGCGGGAGAGAGCGGCCAGCGAAGGGAGGCCACAGTCCCCAACACACCTTGGCTTCGCGGCTCGGCAGCCAGTGGTTAAAGAGGATGTCGTAGGCACTGAAGATGTCCGTGGCAAAGGTGTCCTTCCTGACCGTGGGGTCTGGGGCTTGGTCCAGGTTGGCCAGGTACTCCAGAGTGCTCTCGCTGAAGTGCTGCAGAACTACCCCAGGGTGAGGGGGACAGCGCTGGTTACCGCTGGTCACACCACGTGTGCTTTGCTGCCCCTCCCGGCAACCCCCCACCCGCAAGACACCCTCCCGAGCACAGTGGCCAAGCGTGTGACTCCACGACTATACTGGGGTGAACAGTGTCCCCCGCACCCATGTCCTTCCCAGAACCTCACAAGGCGACCTTTTTTGGAAAGAGGATCTTTGCAGATATAACTACTTAAGATGTGATCGTGGTGGGATACGGTGGGCCCTAAACCCTACACGACTGAGTCCCTAGAAGAGAACACACAGACACAGACACACAGAGAGGAGACGGCAGTGTGCAGCAGGGCACAGACCGGGGGGGAGACGGAGCAGAGCCACCCTCTGAGCCCCCAAGAAGAAACCAACCCTGGTGACAGCTATCTCAAACTTCTGGCCTCTAGAAGCGTGAGAGAATACTTTCATCTTTTTTTTTTTTTAAGATGTGATTTTTAAGTAATCCCTACACCCAACATAGGGCTCGAACTCACAACCCCAAGACCAAGAGTCACACGCTCCACCGATGGAGCCAGCCTGGCGCCCCACGTTTCTCTCATCGGAAGTGCCCTCATTTGGGGTACTACGTTACGGCAGCCCTGGGAACACAGGTACCAACCACCCCAAAACGCCCTCGGTCCACAGCGCCCGGCCCACGCAGCCGGCTGTAAGGCAAAAAGAGGAGATGCTGTGCCCAGCTCACCCCTCACAGACGGACACAAATGCCGCACACTGTGCCAGGGTCGCAGGGCCCGGGCTGGGGTGCGGCAGGCCTGAGACAGCGCGCCGCGTCCCTGAAGGGGACTGCGAGCTGCAGAAGTCCAGGCAGAGACAAAGGCCTGCGAGTGGTCAGCAAGGGCTGACCCTGGCCAGGGAGAGGCCGAGCTAGGGCCCTGTCGTGCAGCCCCTCTAAGGGCTCGGGAGTGGAGCCGGGGAACGGCCAGGAGAGCCAGCGACTCTCAAGGCCTCGCGGGGAGGGGTCGCACCAGCCTGTGAGACCCCCTCGGAGGCGACCCCAGGGATCTGCCACCTCACCCAGCAGGCCCACTTGCCCCTGTCCAGTCCAGCTCTCACGTGGCCCACTTACGTGGCTACCTTCTCAGTGTGGGCTCCCCAGTCCAACAGAAAGAATAAGCCTGACCCCTAGGTGTACATGAGGGCAATCACAGTTATGAGTTCCCGAGAAAGAGAGAGAATTTAAAGAAATTTTAGAAGAGGGGCGCTTGGGTGGCTCAGTCGGTGAAGCGTCTGCTTTCGGCTCAGGTCATGACCTCGGGGTCCTGGGATTGAGCCCCGAGTCCGGGCTCCCTGCTCAGCGGGGGGTCTGCTTCTCCCTCTGCCGCTCCCCCTGCTTGTGCTCACTCTCCCTGTCTCTCAAATAAAATCTTTTAAAAATAAAAGATAAAGAAATTTCAGGAGAAAACCATGTCCTGGAGCAACATGGGCCCCTGGAGGGTCCAGCCCAGGCCAACTCGCCCCTACCCGCTGCACAGCTGCTGCCTCATGGAGCAGGGCCAGACCCCTGCTCTCATCCTCCCTGTGCACCCGATGCTCTCGCCTCTCTGAGCTCCGTAATCAGGATGGTGGTCAAACTGACCGGCGTTTCCTGGCATTCTGTAGTGAGGTTTTTCAGGGTAACAGACCACCATATTGCCGGAAGCAGAAACTGACCTCCCCACTTTGTTACTAGGTTTTGACTGTTACTCAGTTACACACATGCGCGGAAGGTCAAAGAGCTGTTCTCCTATACCTTCCCCAAGCTCGATTTCTTTTCCTCCAGAAGCAAGCGCTGGGGTTGCTCATAACGAGTCTGCAGCGTTCCACGCCGCCTCCCCCAAGGCCAGGGCAGCCAGCTCACGTCACGCCAGCTTGGCTCCCCAGGCAGGGGTCACTAATGCCATCTCCGCATCTCCTGCCAGCATCCCGGGCCTCCCTTGGCCACGGACCTGCCCATTCACATAGCAAGGCCATCAGTTCATGGCGCCCTCCTCTGAGCTGGGGAGAAGGCTGTCCCATAAAAGCATCTCGGTGTGGGTGCTCGGAGGACCCCTCTGCCTGGAACCCCCCGCTCCGGGGCATGCTGGGGACTTCACTCTTCCACCCACTTGCTCCGTTCATTCTTTCAAGGGTATCCGCTATTTGAACGCAACTTCATGCCAATCCTTCCTTCTTTCTCTATTTTCCATATGTTTGTATTTTTGCTCTGTTTTCTGGGGAATTTCCTCAACCTTCTCTTCCATTTCTGGTCGCCATCTGTCATCGTAACCCCGAAAAGCTCAGCTGTGCTCTCTGAAAGTAGCTGCCTCATGGCAACATGCTCTGCTTTCCCTCGCCCCTCCCTGAGGGGTTAATGACGCCTTTTCTTTCTTGCCCGCTTTCTTCTCCCTGGACTGTCTGCTTCCCCCAAGTCTCAGAGACTTTCCTCTGGGGTGGTCATCGGGGCTGCTGTCGGTGCTGCCAAATGGCCAGGCCCACTGCGCACCTGGCTGTCTGGGGGATGCCAACTCCACCTCTGCGCATCCCAGCTCTTCCCCACCTGGCCGAAGCGTCCTAGGAACTCAACCAGTGAGGACCTTCCACCGTGCACGACGTTCTGTGCTCGGCCCAGGGCCACTGGCCTCAGTGGACACAGGCCCACCTGCAAGGACAAGAGGCCTCGGCCCGCTCACGGTGCACCGTGCCAGCAGGAAGGGCCGCTCTCTCCTCCAGTCGCAGGCGGGCATGCTCATCTGTGGTGAGGCGTGGACACCTGGCTACGGGGATGCCCTGCGGCCGAGCATCTGCTGGTGAAACCCCCTCGCTTCACACACGAGAGAAGACACAGACGTAGTAAAAACCGCCAAGGGGAAGGAATCAGTTCTTCAGCACTGCGGGCCGGCCTCCTGCTCCGGGCCTCAGCAGCTGCAGGCTGCGGTGTGTCCTTCCAAGGAGCTGCGTGGGGCGGACAGTGACTGTGCCCTGGGGCTCTTCTCACTCCCCTCCAGCCTGGACGCACCCAGTCCCAGATGGCCCCCCAAGCCCCCTGCCTTGTTTTCAGCACCTCCAAGTATATACCAGAGGCTCCCGCCCCCACACCCCGCACGGCCTGCCCCTTCTGTGTCCTGCTCCGCATTCCCGCTCAGTGGGAAACCCTGGGTCAGCAGCCCTGGGATCCTGTCACAAATTCTCTTTTTAGCCAAAACTACGTTGAGGAGGGTTTCCACATACAACCCAGGGAGTCTGCCATCACCCACAGTGGGAGGAGCCTATGAGAAGACAGGAAGGAGGCCACGGCGGGGACAAGGGAGATGGGACGAGGGGCCGGACGGAGGGTGGCAGAAGCTGGAGCCCCTGCTGGAGGCCCTGGGACCCAAAGCGACTGTGAGCAGGTATCCCGGCTTCGACAGCCTCCAGGTGTGCACGGGCTGGTAGCTTCCCCAGGCTCCCGCCCGCCCCCAGGGCACCAAGGAGCAACAGCAGGACAAGGCCAGCAGGCAAAGATCCAGCAACCCCTCAGCTGAGCTCTGGGTGGTCCCGACCCTATCCTGTCACCAGCCTCTCCCATGTCTGGGACCCTCCTAACCACAGTCCTGCTCCGAGGGTCTCGGCTGACCTGGTGCCCCCTCCCTCCCCTCAGTGCCAGAGCTGACAGCGTTCCTGAAGAAGCTGAAGGATAAGGGCAGTGCGGTGGCTTCTGAGGGAGGCCCAGCCCCCCATTGCACCCCCTCTGTGTTTCAGGAGCCTCTGCTCCCCTTCCAATGGGAATGCCTCCCTTTCCACCAAGGGCCCACCACGGTGCCATCTCTTGCCCAGACACAGGAGGAAGGAGGAGCATGAATGCCCCTTTCCGAGACACCCAGCACTGGGCAGGGAGAAAAACGGGAAGTCTCTGCAGCTCTGGGGAGGTCTCTTCCCACACCACCACAAGTGTCCAAGCCTCGGGGAACTGCACTGTAAGGTAGAGGGGGTCCCTACCAATAGCCAGAAGCAGCCAGAAGCAGCCAGAAGCAGCCAGAGGGAGAGGCCGAGTCTCCGCCCACACCTCTGCAGTCACCTGCGAGTGCTCTGCCCTCCTCCTTAGCCTAAAGGACTCATGACCCTCCACAAAGGCCAAGGGGCGGGCAGGCAGCTCCCAGCCCCCTCCCCGGAGACCTCACCCGCCTTCAGAGACCCCGTCTTACCACAGCAGAACGCCACCCTCATCGTATCATGCTTGGCCATGCCCAGCATGGGCAGCATGGTGCTCAGGATGGACGTCAGGAAGGGCACCATGCCGAACACTGCAAGAGGGGGGCGTGAGGGGGGCGTGTGAGGGAGGCCCCGCCAGCACCCGCCTCAGCTGGCCTGGCCTCCACGCCCCACCCCCCGTGTCCCAGGGAGAGGCAGACGGTGCCTGGGCCACGTGCTGGAGAGGGCCTCCCGACTGGCTCTGGAATGCAGGTGGAGGCGGGCCAAGCGGTACCTACCATTGGAAGCCGCAAGGCTGGCGAGGGTCTGCACCACGAAGTAGTGTGGCAGGGCCCCAGGCTGGAACTTGCTCAGCAGCTCCTCCATCACCTTGCCGATGAACCGCTTCCCAACAGCCACCAGGACGTTGCTGGAGGCCTGCTGCCAGTCACAAACCAATTCCTGTCCCCCCCGCCCCAAAACCTGCACTGAGGCGCTCAACAAACGAAGGAGCCAGGCCCTCACCTCAAACTGCCCAATGGCAACAGGGAGGCCTTCTGCCCCGTCTTCAGGCTCTCCCAAGGCCCTCCCCTGCCCAGGAGCAGGCCCCAAGCACCTGCCACCTCCACCTGCAGGGAAAGGAGAGTGCTGCCCGGGGGCCAGGTCCCGTGCAGAGCCCAGCACCACCCCCCAAACACTGCGATGCGGGCACCCTCACATCTGCCCTGGGGTTTAGGAAGTTGGCTCTCTGCTTCAATTTCCACCCCAAACATTACGGGTGACCACGTTCTTCATGCGCTTGGGCAGAAAGTTCTAGTGAAGATGTTCCCTCCCCAAGCCACACAGGTGTGCCCATACCTTCGCCCTGGTCATCTCGCTGGAGGCCAGGAGGATGATGGCCCTGGCCTTGTCCTTGCGCAGCTCACTGATGTGGCCGCTCACAACCGTCTCCATGGCCCTCAGGATCATCGTCCGGTAAGGATGTGTCAACTGAGCAGAGAAACCATTGAGGAAGGTCCTGGAAGGGGAGCCCAGCACCCAGGCACCCTGCTGATGCCTCCTGCTTTCTCTAGAGGGGCTACTCAAAACAGAATCACCCGTGGCTGCCCCAACAAGGAGAAACAGAGCACGCCTGACCACTCCTCGTGCGCCCAGAGCCTTCGTGCCCCGCAAAGAAAGGGCCGTGGGAAGTGGCTGGGGGCACGTCACTGTCAGCACCGCCAAGAGTGTTCTGTGCAAGACCCACGAGCAGCAGACGGCAGCCCTCCCCACTGTGGCCAGGGTCTCCCGGCCGAAGCTGCGCTGCCCCGAGAGGTCCCATCACAACAGAGGTCTCTGCCACCAGGCATCTTTCGGGCTCCCAGTGAGTGCCTGTCAGAGGAGACCGCTTGGCCGGCCCTCCCACCTGAGGGCCCTCTCCTCACCCAGGGGCCCTCCCCACCCTCCCCACCCCCAGGGGGCCCCGTCTGTCACACCCCTCCCCAAGCTGACAAATATGCCCAAGGGTCCTGAGACTAAAATGGAAGATGACGGCGCTGCCCGGTCCCTGCGCCCCACTCAGCCGCCATCCGAGCCTTTCTCCCCTGCTCCGGGTGAGCCCCGCACAAGTCCTGCCGCTGGCCCAGACATCGTCCTCGTCTGCACCTCGCAGCTGCGACCCGGGGCACTCATCCTCGCCCTAACTGAGGACGTGTGGTGATGGCAAAGCTGCAGGTGGGGGCGGGGGGGCGGGGCCAGGAAGCCCAGACACCCCACTGCAATGCAAGAGCCACGGAGAGGAGCCCAGCCAAGCCATGCGGAAGGCTCCATCCGGCCAGGAGCCCCCAGGCGCTCAGAGTCTGGAGGAGAGGGCAAGAACCTGGCGGGGCGCAGGGGAAGACCAAGACTGGCCTTTCCTGAGGACGCCCCCGCCCCAGGAATGGAGCATCCAGGTGAGGGTGGGCACTCTGTGCCACAGGTGGTGCCCAGGCCTGCGCTGCGTGACCGGAGACAAAGTGGCAAGAAAGAGAGACAACTCGGGCTGGAGGAACCAAAGCAGGGGTGTACGGTTGATGGGGCCGCCGCTCAGGCCGGAGCACCGGCTCCCTCCAAGGGGGCCAAGGCAGCCAGGCCCACAAATGGACATGCTCTCTGCTCCTGAAAAAAGCCAACACATAAACATCTCTAGATATACGAAGAGATCACATAATCTGCCTTCATTTTTCTGGGGAAAAGCTCTAGTTTTCGGTTTTGTTCTCTCGGTAATAAATTTTGTCAAAATTCACTTGACCACATACACGAGGGTTTATTCCTAGGCTCTCGATCCTATTCCCTTCGTCTACATGTCTGTCTCTATGTCAGTCTCCACCACCCTGTTTGACTCCAGTAGCCCTGTAGTAGGTTTTGGAGTCAAGAGGTGTGAGTCCCCAGCTTTGTTCCTTTTAAACAGTTTGGGCTATTCTGGGTCCATTGAGAGTCCGTATGAATTTTAGGATGGCTTTTACTATTTCTGCAAAAAAACATCATTGGGATTTTGATAGGGACTGCAACAGCTGCTTAGTTTTAAAGAAAACGTGGGTGCTTTTTCCCCGTTTTCTATTAAAAGTTCCGCGGGCAGAACACCAGTCGCATCAGAGCGAGACGCGGTGGCTTCCCCGACAGAGGTTTTCCACTGGGCCTCAGCAGGCTCTGCGTGCACGGTGATAAAACCACAGCCCTGTCATCTGAGCGCAGCAGGAACTGAGCGGGGACAGACAAGGGACAGGGCACTGGGCTCGCTGACGGCCAACGCAGGCCCAGAGTGGGTGTGTGTGAGATTTCCAGCTCAACAGGCTGATGTGTGGCGGGCTGCCGCGAACCCGTCATTCTGCCCTGCCCCCCACCACCGCAGAGACTAACCCGGACGCCCAGGCCGTGTGTAGGCCGGGCCTTGGCCACGGGCAGTCCCAGTGTGTGTGGCGAGTTTCCTCTGGTGCTGAGTTATTCTGCTGGGTACAGTTCGAGTCTACTCAAGTGGGCAGCTTTCGCACACTCGGGTCAGGGCCTTAGCTGGGTGCCGGCGCTCACCACACGCACTGACTTCACTACTGTGAGAGACTGCAGCCCCCGAAATTCCTATGTGGAAACCTCACCCCAAATGATCAAAGTGGGAGGCGGGGTCTCCGGGAGGTGAGTAGGTCACGAGGGTGGAGCCCCATGGGTGGGACCAGAGCCTTCTAAAGAGACCCCAGAAAGCCCCGTCCTGCCCCCTGCCGTGTGAGGACACAGTAAGAAGGTGGTCTATGCACCAAGAAGTGGGTCCCTGCCACACACGGAAGTTGCCAGCACGGGGACCTTGGACTCCCGGCCTCCGGAACTGGGACAAGTACAAGCTTGCTCTTGCTGGAGTAAGCCTGACAGGGCTGGACGGCTATTTTTGCCTCTGTTCCCTCAGTCACTTCCCACCCACCGGCCTGAGCGCCCCTGTGTGCGCAGCCCACACTCCCTCCGGGGAGAGTCCACGGGCTGGGAAACGCGCACACCGCCCGAGGCACGGCCCCATAAAGTATGGCTGTGATGGATGTGGGCGGCCTTAGGGCAGAGGGAGGCGCCTGGAGGGGGGCACACTGTCTGCAGGACAGAGCTTCCCGCTTAACGTACTTTTACCGCAAATACGCAAATGTGAAGGAAGATATTTAAACTGGTTAAAGAAACCAAAAAGCCTAGAAGAGGAGTAAAATTATAAATGAGTTAGAAAATGACAAGCAGGAAGCACGCTTAAATTTTGCAACGAATCGCTAACACTAACAAAGGCTCCCGTAGCCGCCTTCAGTAAGCGCCCTTTGGCCGGTGCCGGTTCCTCAAGCGGTCAGGGCGGCCCCAGTCAGCGGTCACGTCAGACAGCGATTCAGCGCATCACGGAGGGAGCCCCTCAGCCACACAGAGAAGCAGCGCGAAGCTCTTCAAAGCCACAGAAGAGCCACGGTGGACACACACGGTGGACTCACACGGTGCCCAAGCGTGCATTCCCGCGCCACGAATGGCGCGTCTCTAATCCCAGTGCCCGCAGCAGTCCTAGTGCTCCGACGCAAACACAGAAGCCCAGGAGCAATCGGCTCAGGGGCCGCTCGGTGGGACTGACCTGTGTCCCCAGGAGATGGCAGTTGATACATGAGAGTGAGTTAACTCCCGTTATACAGAGATCCCTTTTTCCATATCAAGGCGTCAAATCAAACAAAGAGAAAAATGGTCTCTTGAGGCTGCAAAAGTCTCTTTCCCTTCCCGGAAGGGCCCACACCACACACAGAAAAACGAGAGATGGCACACAATGATTTCAGAGGACAGCTCTCCGACGGCCCGGCAGGCCCCCCCACCGGGCACAAGCAGCGCACGAGCCCCAGGAGGCTGCCGCGGCGGCCGTCAGCGGGAGGGCAGTGAGGGAAAGGCCCCCTCCTCGGGCAGCCACCCCTTGCGCCCCTACCTCTGAGCGCTGGCCCACCTGCTCCTCTTACCGTAGCTGACGACGAGGGGCCTTCTCTCCCTGGGGGACAGCACAGGCCCCGGCAGGGAGAGCTGTCCGGTCCCTGGCCAGGGAGTGAATGGGGACAGCAACACAGCCTCCGAGTGTGACGGCTGGACGCCGTGTCGCCCCACCCAGTGCCCCCACGCGGACCGAGCCGCCGGACACAAGACAAGGCGGCTCTTCCGTCCTGGAAATGCCCCATCTCAAGGGAAGCTGGACTTGCAGGTGTGGCCTTCTGCCCACAGCAACTGGCTCCCAGCTCCAGACCCATGCTCACCTACAGACCCCGCCCCACAGAGGGGCAGCTCACCTCCCCAGCCAGCCTGTGGCCCCGGGCAGGGAATACCTTCTCATGCTGCCACAGGTACTCCTCGCAGGCGCTGAGGGCTTCCTCGGGCTGTGCCTCTCCAAGGGCGCACAGGGCACCGCACACCTGCTCCCGCACCAGAGGGTCCTTGTCGGTGATGGCGTCCAGCAGGATGGCGGACAGCTCTGCAGTGACCAAGCCCAGTGTGTGCGCTCAGGCCCAGCCCCCCCACCCACCATCGCCTGCCTCGGCCTCGGAGCCGGAGGACGCCTGCCCCCTCCCACTCTTGCACGTTCCCGTTGCCCCAGCGGCCGGCCCTGACCCCCGCTGCCTGGCCGCCTTGCCCACCTCAGCCATATACACCCGAGGTGCTCTTATACTCATGCTGCCTCCCCCGACCTTGCTCGCCAGGGTCTCTGTTGGGATCCACTGGCCGGCTGCTCGGAGGGCACTCTGGCTAACTGCACCTGACCTTACGCCCCAGGCTGTGCTTGCTTCACGTCTCCTGCCCCCACTGGACCGTGGCTGCTGTAAAAGGCAGGTGTTACAGGCTCAGGGCTGGGTGGGAAGCGGCCCCCAGGTGGCCAACTGTCCCGTCCTGGGGACCACCCCAGTCCCACTAACTGCCCCCAAGGACAACTCCTCATCATCCCATCCCTGCTGGTCAGCGCCCTACACTCAGAGCCAGACCTCTCCTGCTCGGTGCCCCCTAGACAGGACCCTGCCATCCTCAGTGTCCCCGGAGCTCAGGGCATGGTACCTGCAAATAAGCGCTTATAGGTCCTCAATCCTGGAGAGAGAGCTCCGTGGGGCAGCAAACTGCTGGCCCCAGCTTCAGGGACAGAGTGGACAGCCACAATGGCTGCTGGACCATGTCTTGTGTAGAAAGGGGCAAGGGCGCAGGGTCCCCTCTACGCAGCACAAAGCCCCCTGTACCCAGCAAACACCATTCCCATGCTGCACTGAGCCAGCAGCCAAATCGTCCCCCTATGATTCAGTCACTACAGAGACAACCACTTTGTTTTCTTTTTTGTTTTTACTGAACACAGAGAACGCATGCCCTGCAATAGTCCTTCCTTCAAGCCTCATTCACTCAAGGCCAGGTGCTCCTCTGGGACCCAAACTCAAAAGCTAGGCGGCAATCCCCCCCACCCCACGCATCCTGCCCTTGGGGCCCTACACACTCACTCTTCACGTAGGACTCTGTCATCTTGGCTTCGCCTCACCCAGTGTGAACATGGACAGCTTCTTCTCAAACCTGGAGTAAGCAAAAACACAGCAATTAAATCATACCCCTCTTCCATTTACAGGCAGTCACGGTGTTTGTATAAAATAAGATTTCTGGGGTGCCTGGAGGGCTCAGTCCGTTAAGTCTCCAACTCTTGATTTTGGCTCAGGTCATGATCTTGGGGTCCTGGGATCAAGCCCCACGTCAGGTTCCCTGCTCAGCAGGGAGTGTGCTTGAGACTCTTTCTCCCTCTGCCCCCCCTGCGCACCCCCCCACACACGCACTCTAAAAAATTTAAAAAATAAAACTCATCAAAAAACCCCCTGGGGCGCCTGGGTGGCTCAGTTGGTTAAGCGACTGCCTTCAGCTCAGGTCATGATCCTGGAGTCCCGGGATCGAGTCCCACATCGGGCTCCCTGCTCGGCGGGGAGTCTGCTTCTCCCTCTGACCCTCCTCCCTCTCATGCTCTCTGTCTCTCTCATTCTGTCTCAAATAAATAAAATCTTTAAAAAAAAAAAACAAAAACCCCTGGGGCGCCTGGGTGGCTCAGTTGGTTAAGCGACTGCCTTCAGCTCAGGTCACGATCCTGGAGTCCCAGGATCGAGTCCCACATCGGGCTCCCTGCTCGGCAGGGAGTCTGCTTTGCCCTCTGACCCTATCCCCTCTCATGTGCTCTCTCTCATTCTCTCTCTCTCAAATAAATAAATAAAATCTTTAAAAAAACAAAACAAAAAAAATCCCCTGATTTCAGTGCCTTTTCCTGGGGGGAGCTATCTGCCATACCACGGCAGAGCCACTCACGGAGGACAGAAGGCAGCTTCCCTCAACAGCCACCAGTTCTCCTCTGCCCCACCTGGCAGCCCCACCGGGGTGATGTCAGCCCACACGGTGACCTGGGCAAGTGTGGGTCACCACCTACAGCATCCTCCCTTACTCTGTAAAGAAGAGAGGGCATACATAAGCCTGACATCACCAACAGTCTGTGAGGGCATGGAAACCTGCCCCGAGGGCCAAGAACGAGGGCCTTGATCACTGCAGGCTCCAGATCCCCTGTGCTTGAGAGTTCTAGCACAGCACAGAATGAGCCTCCTCATGGCTCAGAGGGACTGGCTGGGCAGCACGGGGATCCAGGTTCCTTGCCGCCAGAAACCAACCATCCAAACAGCCCACGGCATTTGAGAGGTGCAGCTTTCGGGGCGCCTGGGGAGCGCGGTCGGTCTTGGTTTCGGCTTGGGTCATGATATCAAGCCCCGCATCAGCCTCCATGCTCAGTGGGGAATCTTCTTGAGATTCTCTCTCTCTCTCCCCCTCTGCCCCTCCCTTGCTCGCTCGCTCTCTCTCAAATAAATCAATCTTTAAAAAAAAAAGAGCTGCAGCTTTCAAACACTGCATGCTTTGAAGCAGCCCTTGCAACAGATGGACCCAAAGAAGAAAGTGCCTCTACCCCTTTACCACTTGGTCACGAATTCAGACCTACGTCATACTCTCCAAGGTCCGCAAGCTCAGAGGGGCCACAGGCCATCAGCACGGTAGCTGACAGCTTTCTAACACGGTGTCTTCTGCCTGCTGCGACTGCATTGCCCCTCACCGATCACTTCCACCCCGGGCCCTCCCGATTACCCCTCAGACATAAAAGGACAGAGGGGATAAAGGCGAGTTGCCAGGACCTGCCCCTAACCAAGCAAGACGACACTCAGCTGGCTACAGACACACAGGAAGGAAAGAGCAGCTGAGACGTCACAGGGTGCGGGGCGGCACAATTACAAGTGAGTGAGAACTCCAGTTCAGGAAGGCAGACTGGTCCCAAGCAAGCATTCATCCCACCAAAACCTCAATGAAATGACAGAAAAGATGCAAGTTTTTATTTTATCTTATTTTTTTAAAGTTTTCTTTTTATCTTTTTTTTAAAGATTTTATTTATTTATATGACAGAGAGAGACAGCGAGAACAGGAACACAAGCAGGGGGAGTGGGAGAGGGAGAAGCAGGCCTCCCGCTGAGCAGGGAGCCCGATGTGGGACTCGATCCCAGGACCCCGGGATCATGACCTGAGCCGAAGGCAGACGCTTAACGACTGAGCCACCCAGGTGCCCTCTTTTTAACTAATCTCTACACCCAGCATGGGGCTCAAGCTCATAACCCCAAGATCAAGAGTTGCATGTAGGGGCGCCTGGGGGGCTCAGTCGTTGAGCATCTGCCTTCGGCTCGGGTCATGATCCCGGGGTCCTGGGATCGAGCCCCGCATCGGGCTCCCTGCTCGGCGGGAAGCCTGCTTCTCCCTCTCCCTCTGCCTCTCCCCCTGCTTGCACTCCCTCTCTGTCAAATAAATAAATATCTTAAAAAAAAAAAAGAGTTGCATGCTCTACTGCCTGTACCAGCCAGGTGTCCCAAAGATGCAAGTTTTAAAAGAATAAATCCACAAGAGCACTAGAAAACAAGATAAAATTAGCAAACCAGAAATCTCCAGGAATCCCAGGCAGATAGAAAGCAGATGGAGAAGACTCTGGCTTAAAGATGCTGGCATCACCACGGTGTTTCTCCTTTCTTCCTGGAAAGCATCTAAAAGTAACAAGAGAAACAAGAAATAGAAACACACATTTCATTTGTGGCAGAGCAAGAAGGCCAAAAACCGCAAACCCCAAAAGAATGAAGGGCTGAAAATGTCGCAGCCGTCAGCAGGTTCCAGAAAGAGCCCAAAGATACTTCTCAAAGGCGGCGGCACATCGTCAGATAGACCCTAAACCCTGAATTCCTAGACCTGGTCTGTATGTACAAGGCAAGCAGCTGTCCCTGGGGCAGAGGCTTTGCTCTGAGAAAAGCCACAGATGCCTGTCTCCACCACCCAGGAAGAAACAAGGGCTAAACCAACTCAAAATCAGCAAGTTTGGAACGCTCTTCATACGAGTGCAAAAGGCCATGTGCACCCAACTCAAACAGGAATAAAAAGTAAGTAAACAAGATCAGCTCCTAGCCCGGATGGGAGTAATGGACCAACTTGCTCTCCTGACCAAAACAACTAAAAAGGAATGGTAGTTCTGTCATCTCAGTGATGGACATCAGGAAATGAAGGACAGGAGCCCTGTGCCCACTCCAGCTCACAGCCTGGAGGGTGCATCCAGGAATCAGGAGGACTCGGCAATACACCTAAGTTGAGACAGATTGGGAGTAGTATCTTGGGAGACCCAGGTCCTGGCAGTTTGCAGACTCTAATACCAGAGAGAACTCCAGAGACCTGCAGAGGGTCCCTGGTCACTCAGCTGACTTCCTGGCCAGTGCTGGGTGGCAGAATAATGTCCCCAGAGAAGTCTATGTCCTCACCCCAGAACCTGTGGTATGTTACCTTCCGTGACAAAAGGGACTCAGCAGATAGAATTAAGGGTACAAGCCCTGTGGTGGGGGGATTATGTGGGTGAGACCAGCCTAAGTGTATAAGTCCTTAAATGTAGAGAACTCTTCCCAGTGGGGTCAAGGAGATGAGACCGAAGAAGGAAGAGGAGAAGTTCAAAGTGTGGGAAGGACTCAAGCCACCATGGCTGGCTTTAAAGACAGAGGAAGGAGGCTCTGGACCACACAACGTGGGTGGACTCTAGAAGTCAGATATGTCCCTTAGTTTACAGCCAGTGACCAAACAGGGACTTTGTTCCTACAGCCGCAATGAACCAAATTCTGCCAACAACCTGAAAGAGCAGGAAACAGATTCTCCCCAGAGAGCGCAGAAAAGAGCACAGCCCTACTGACCCCTGGATTTTAGGCTGGTGAGATCTGTGTCAGACATCTGACCTCAAGAACTTTAGGATAACAAATATATGTCATTTAAGCCACTAATTTTATGGTAATTTATTACAGCAGCAGGGGAGCTGCCGTAATACGAGCGCCATGTTTAAGAAGAGATTACCAAAGGCCAGGGCAAGAACTACCCAAAAGGCTCAGCAGAAACAATCCTCAGGACTCACAACAGGCCCAGAACGAGGCTGCTCCCAGCAGCCAGAGGGGAAAACATCACAACTCACAGGGTATTGGGAAGAACATTCAAAATGGTTTTGCCTCAATAAAAAAGTAAAGTTAGCCGTAAACTAAATGCTGTTCTGGTCTCACCTAACAAAGCTAAAAGTAATACCTGAAAAGATCAAATTGTTCCTAAGTCACTTAGCTACATCCCAGCACAAAGTTCAAGAATAATAACAAGGGGGCGCCTGGGTGGCTCAGTCAGTTGGGCGTCTGCCTTTGGCTCAGGTCATGATCCCAGGGTTCTGGGATCGAGCCCCACATCAGACTCCCTGCTCTGCTTCTCCCTCTCCCTCGTGCTCTCTTTCACACTCAAATAAAATATTTTTTTAAAAAGAATGATAGGGGCGCCTGGGTGGCTCAGTCGTTAAGTGTCTGCCTCCGGCTTGGGTCGTGATCCCGGGGTCCTGGGATCGAGCCCCACATTGGGCTCCCTGCTCCGCGGGAAGCCTGCTTCTCCCTCTCTCACTTCCCCTGCTTGTGTTCCCTCTCTCGCTATGTCTCTGTCAGATAAATAAATAAAATCTTTAAAAAAATAAATAAAAAATAAAAAGAATGATAATAGGAACACAAAAATATCCAGCATCAACAAGGTAAAATAATAATTTCTGGCATCTAATAAAAAATTACCAGGCATGCAAAGAAGCAAAAAAATACAACCCACAATGAGGATGAATCAATAAATATAAATTGATCCAGAAATGATGCAGAAAAATTAGTGAACAAGGACATTTAGACAGTTATTATAACTGTGTCTCATATACTCAAGAAACCACAAGAAAGACTGCATATGTTAACATAAAGAGGTTAAAGAAAAAGGATGGTAAAAGACAGGGCTGACACTAGTTATAAGAAAGCTGGAGTGCCTGTCAATATTAGACAAAGCAGATTCCAGAGACATAACAATCCTAAACATTTATGTGCCTAATAACAGAACTTCAAAATACACAAAGCCAAAACTAATGAAAATGCAAGAAAACATAGACAAATACAAATTACATCAGAGATTTCTCTATAATTGGTGAAACAATTGTACAGATAATCAGTAAGGGTACAAAAGACCTGAACAATATTGTCAACCAACTTGACCTAAGTAGTATTTACAGAACCATTTTTTCATTAACAGTAAAATATATATTCTTTCCAAAAGCACATGGAATATTTTTCAAGACTGACTATATTCTGGGCAGTAAAACAAATCTCAGTAAATTTAAAAGAGTTCAAGTCATACAAAGTATGTTCTCTGACTACAATGGAATTAAAAGTCAATAAGAGAAAGCTATCTGAGAAACCCCCAAGTATTTTAAAAACTACTTAATGTGCTTCAAAATAATACATGAGGCAAAAAAGAAATCAAAAGTAAAATTAGAAAGCATTTGAAGTGAATGAAAATGAAAAAATACACCAAAATTTGTGGGAAATTTATAGCACTAAATGACTGTATTAGAAAAGAAGAATGATGTGACCTTTTTTTTTTAGATTTGTTTATTTATTTATTTGAGAGAGAGAATGAGAGAGAGAGAGAGAGAGCATGGGGGGGGGGAGAGTCAGAGGGAGAAGCAGACTCCCCGCTGAGTAGGGAGCCCGATGCGGGACTTGATCCCGGGACTCCAGGATCATGACCTGAGCCGAAGGCAGTCTCCTAACCAACTGAGCCACCCAGGCGCCCAAAAATGATGTGATCTTCCACCTTAAGAAACTAGACGCTCAGGTGTGCATGGATAGCCCAGTTGGTTAAGCATCTGACTCTTGATTTTGGCTCAGGTCATGATCTCAGGGTCATGGGATCGAGCCCCACATCGGGCTCTGTACTCAGCACAGAATCTGCTTGTCCCTCTCCCTCTGCTCCTCCCCACTCTCTCTCTCTCTCTCTCAAATAAATAAAATCTTTAAAAAAAAAAAAAAGAAACTAGACACTCAAATGAAGCAAAAGAAAAGAAATACTAAATATTAGTACATAAATCAAAGAAATAGAAAACATGACAGAAAAAAAATCAGTGATACCAAAGGCTAGTTATTTGAGAAGATCAATAAATTTGATAACCTCTATCCTGATAGATCAGGGGGAAAAAGAAGACACAAATTACCAGTATCAAGAGAGGTGGGGCACGTGAGTGGCTCAGTTGGTTAAGCAACTGCCTTTGGCTCAGGTCATGATCCTGGACTCCCAGGATTGAGTCCCGCATCAGGCTCCCTGCTCAGCAGGGAGTCTGCTTCTCCCTCTGACCCTCCTCCCTCTCATGCTATCATTCTCTTTCTCTATTAAAAAAAA